ATGTAAAACTTCAAGCATAGCAACCAGAAGCTTTTGGGATGTGTGGCCATGGCAGTAGAAGGGTAGGGAAAACCTGAGGATTAGCTTGCTGGATGCTGAGAAGGGGGACAAGGAGAAAGAAGGTGCCCATTAGTGGTGGAAAAGACAGGTCAGACTTCACAAATGATTCCATAGGGAGCCAAGTGGGTAATGGGGATAAAATGTAAAACTTCAAGCATAGCAACCAGAAGCTTTTGGGATGTGTGGCCATGGCAGTAGAAGGGTAGGGAAAACCTGAGGATTAGCTTGCTGGATGCTGAGAAGGGGGACAAGGAGAAAGAAGGTGCTCATTAGTGGTGGAGAAGACAGGTCAGACTTCACAAATGATTCCATAGGGAGCCGAGACATACATTTTCTCCAAGGTGTTAACATTAAGTTATTAATATGTCTCATACCCTCCAGGTATGGTAATTATGAGAGCTGATTGTTAGTGTGACTCTCTAACTTATCATGCAAATGGACAATGTGGGAGTGAAAGGTGGTTCTATTGATCATTACGCACCACTGGGACTGTTTTACTATCTTAGGAAAGCTGGGTCATATGTTCCCTAACAATGTCATCCAAAAAGAACCAGGGCACAATTTAGGCTCTTCAGTTGCTGTGAAAACGATTCCTTCTGGGCTTTCCGTCAAGGGAAGAATGAAAGGTTTTGGCGTGAGGGCTGGGGGAAGAGTGGAGGAGAAGGATAAAAGGAGAACTAGACAGTTTACTGAGCATGCATAGAATCTAGCTGTTGGGAGTGGAAATTGTTCTCTTTCCTCCACTCACTTTTGAACTAATCAAGACCGGGATCATCAAGGCAAAAAGAACACAAGACAGTGATGGGGTCCAGGAACGGGGAGCAGCATTGAAGGGGATTGCAACAGCATTTCTGCTCAGATGTTACTTAGAAGTTGGCTTTTCCACTCATGAGGAGTATTTCTTGGCTTTTCCTGACTGAGTGACATCTTCTGGAGACCTAAAAGTAGAGACCACCTGATTTACCTTATCTGAGGGTCTCCGATGCTCTTAAAGGGAAATACTGTAGACCATTACCAAAATAATAAAATAATTTTTTTGCTACTTGCCTGCCAATTTAACTTTATGTTCTACATATTTTTAAAAGGAACATAGAAAAGTATTAAATTCAATTCACTTGACACCTGATGGCTTACTCCCAACGACACGCAACAAGGAACATTATTAAATTTGTGGGGCTATGTTAGCAGAGGCCATGGTCCTCCTATGTATTTCTGGGACTCCCCTATACAAATGAAAACAACTCCCTCTGAAACTTAGTTCTGGAAGGGAGGTTGGAGCTCATCTGATGGCATGTCCAAAGTCACACAATTGGGCTGTGGTAGAGACAGCACAAAGGCCTGGTCACACAGTCTGAATTCCAGGGTGTTGTGTATCCCACTATAATTTCCTCCGCTGACCATGCAGCTCATTTATTGTTAACTTTTAACATTGGGTTGCACATGGCCAAGTATAATGTTTAGAGAACTCGCTGTTTTCTAAGTATAGAAATGCTATCTAGAGGAAAACGAAGTTCTACATATTTTATAGGGGAAAATTAGACGGTTTTCATTATGACCTGTCCAATTACTAACTATATTTAGTGTCTGCTAGAAGGTTAAGGCAGAGTAGGTAGGGTGATGCACAGGGGTGAAAATCTGTAACAGGAATAAGATGCAGAAAGGGTAAAATGGGTCAAGTTCCTGGAGGGTGGTTTGTAACTAGTCCTGTGCTACTTGAATGATAAGCTATTCTGGGAGGAATAACAGATTGTTAAATGGTGTACAATTAAGGCTGAAGGAGGGTATGAATAACGAAAAAGAATTGATACTGCATGAATTCACCGTATTACAGCTCTAAGGTAAAGAGATGGTATTATCATCAAACATTGGTGTAGATATAAATTTTCCTAGGCTTCAGCTGATGATTTTATTTCCACTTTAGTTTGAATTACACTGGGAGAGAGAAGGTTTATGTAAACACATGTACTCTTCACGTCAAGACTGAAAAGCAGAAAAAACTAACCCAAGGCAGTTCAGAGGAGGCTATGTGAGCGCACAAGCTGCCTCCCAAGGCCCCTTAAAGGCGACAGGAGAAGGAATTTGGGAAAATTATTAAAATTTATTATTTTTGTGTGGATTCAATTGAAGACGTGCAAGATAAGCCCACAGAAGCTGAAGCTTTCAGTGATTCATGGGCAGAATAGCTTTTGAGGTTTGAAATGAGAAAGAGGAAAAATACACAAATCAATTTCATTGGGCTAAGGCATGAGGGTTAGGGTTCTACGGCGCTGGGAAGGGATGAACACAAGAGAGGTAATCTATTTCACACAGCCACACCTGCAAAGTGCACACACACACATCACATTTTAATACTTTTCACTTATAAAAGTTATACTGGAAAATGTTCCCCCCTCCCTCATTTCTCTTCAAAAGGAAGCCCAGGGAGACTAGGGGCCAGATAGCAACACTGGTTGCTCTTATTTGTCCTCTGGCTTTCCCTGGGGCTATTTTAAACTAATGAATCTGTGACCCTGTATACCTAAGGCAAATGCACCAAGTTATTTGGCCTCTCTGTTAATGATTTATATATTTATTTTTTATTGTATTTGTTTATAATTTATTATGGTGCTTTATATACAAAACGAGTAAAGAAAAGAGTTATCCTCAGAGTTTTTACTAGTAGCTTTGAGTGCTAATAGGAGGTGTACCCTGCCATTACCAGAGTGGTTCATCAAAGCACTTACTATTTTTTCCCCTCTTGTATTGTTTATTTGGCTTGCCTCAGTAGGCGGAAATTCGGATAAGTTGAAAGGCTGAAGTGGATGAGTGAGGAGGGGGAAAGACTTTTTAATCTTTTTCCTTCTTGCCCATGCCTGTTAATGATTCATTTTTATTCATTTATTTTCCTATTGTCTGCAGAAAAAATGCAGGCAGAGTTGTTCAATGGAATGGAGTTCTTTCCCAGCTGGCTCAGAACTACTACACCGACTTTTCCCACGCTTACTTCCTACTGAAGCCTTTGTGATGAGTGCTGGTTGCTCCAGGATGTGCAAGGTATGTAGGGGCCAATCAGGGACGGTTGTGAGCCCCTTGATGTACCAAGGACTTTTTGATTAGGAAAAACAAAACCAACGTTAGACATCTTGAGTTCCAATTAGGAAATTCTTGCTCCTGGAGAAGGAAAAGCTAACTCCAAACTCTTTCCCGTACCCTACCAGGACCTTAGTATTTTCTGGTTTGCAACTCTTATATTAAAAAGCTTTCCCTTTCAAATGTTTGCTTTTGAGTTGTAACCTCTAACAATTAATTTTCTGCCAGTGTCATTAATTTCAGTTAACTAGAAAAAGCACATTTAAAGTAAAAAGCACAATGTAGTTTGAATGTAGAAATTGATTAGTTCTAACAGGATATTTTTCTTATTCAATTGATGGTAGGCTCTCATTGGCACATCTTGGAACCAAAAATGTCTCACAGTGATGGCTCCCTGCACCCTTCTGGCACTTAAAATGCTGGCACAAAAAGCCCTGTCTTGCCAAGTTCTGACCTCTGAGAAAGACATTGGACACTCTAAGACATTACTAAGAAAAATACCAATCTATGTCCCTGCTTGCTTGGATATTATGAACTTCTGAGGCCACTACCACCCTCTCTGGGACTGCCAGTTTGCATGGAAACACATCTATGGCATCACATCCCACCATTCTGAATGTCTTTTCCAAGAACATCAGGACTGGAGAGAAATACATTTGAGAATACTTAATTATCAAATTCTCTTTTAAGTTTAATTAGCATACATCAAACATATCTTGGGCCCCCCAGTTGTAAAACACCTGTTTTCATTCCCAAGATTTCTCTTTTCCTTTAAAAACAGTGACATAATTCCCTCTGGGTCTTCCAGAAGTGAGTTAGCCAGCTTGCGTTATCAATGTCATTCGCTATCTCTTCCTTTTCTCCTTCCCATCATTTGGACAGTTGACCGTTGACCCTGATGAAATCCATCATCCACTTCTAGTCTTAGGAAAAGTTCCCGGAAACATTGTGGAAGGGAGAAAGTTCAAAGGTAAAGCATTGGTGCAAATGAAGCTTTGGATTACCTGTGGGTTTTGATAAGCTCTTCCACTCCTCACCCCCTGAAAAGCACAGGTAAGTCGGTCGAGTGACTCAGAAACACGTCCACGTTCCAGGACGCATTTCCAGGAGCAGCGGGCTACAGTTTCTGTCTCTGCTGGTGCGCTGTCCCCGAGCCCCACAGGGGTGCAGCCTTCCCCGCAGTTACTGTCCCTTCCGGTGGGGGTGGGGCGTGAGGCAGTGGTCACAGACACCTGGCAGTTACACAAGTGCACACAGAACATGGCAGCGAGAGAGCAAGAGCTAAAAAGATTCTGGTTTGGACCCAAATCACTAGTCATTTCACTTCATGGAGAAAAGCAAGTGCCTTGGAAGCTGACATTATTTACAACGCTCAGAGTTTCCAGATGCCCACCCAAAGCCGAGGGCCACCACGCAGCAGGGACAGTTCAATGAACTATGTACAGAATTTACAAGGAAGTTTACATAATAGTCAACATTCCATTACCAAGTGTACCTTGTTGTTTACTTGTCTGCGTTCAGAAAACGGAGATAGTTTTGTTTGTCCTCCGCATCCCAGTAACTGCTGATTGAACCACCATGAACAAATGCTGGCACATGCCTTTTGCTTCCCTCTGGGATAAACGATTACACTTTGATTAGAAAAAAAAATGTGGCATATCACCCTTTGGTCAGATACTATTCAAAATTGTCCGTATAAGAAGTCTTGAAGATAGTTTCCTTCTAGCATTATAAATATACCTTATTTTTTGTTGTTGAACTTGGCAAATTTTAATTGCGCTCTTTTTTGAAATGAATATTTATAAAGTAGTCATTGATTTTAGAAAGTTGGAATTTAGTCATCATTTCTGTGTGTTGTACATACTGTTTGTCTAAGGAAAGTCTACTCTTGGATCCCTAAACCAAACTTTATTCTCCGCACCACATTTTTCTCTTGGCACTTTCAAAATCCTTCACTGATTGTAATGCACAATAAGATGGTTTGTATGAAAACACGTATCATTGAATCAGCAGAATGACCATCCAGTCTGCTGTTTCTATTTGGCAATGTAGAGAATGGAGGCAACAGTCTTAGGTAATTCAAGCCAAACACATCTTTACCTGGGTCTTTGCTTCACGAAGCTGGTAAGGGTAACCCACGTCACCCCTGACATGTTAAGCCAAACAACATGAGTGGAAGGGATGAATGTGTCGTCATCACTGTCCAGTGAAAGATGGGATGCATGCTGGGTTTCACAGGTTACGTTTATGACACAAGATATGTCACAGTTTATGGATTGTGAACATGGGGTCCCCTGGACATGACGGTAGCATAAGAGAGTCCATACAATTTTCAGCCTCGCTGCCACTTCAGTAATGAAGGAGATTATGGCTATTTTCATGGCAAAAAGAAAATAACCAAATAATAGTTGAACAGTAGTAACCCCTGTTTTAGGCATGGGTCTGAATCTTTCAGCAACAGGATCCGTGTGAGGGCACTTAAGAATGTCTAACAACTCTCCTGTTTTATGTACATCATTTTGGGCAAAACAAGGGAGAGAGGCAGAGAAGGACGGTATGTTTCCATGCATTTTTCAGCCTGGAGGAAGAGTGGGTGGGGTCCAAGGAGGGGAGGGTTCAGCTGGGAGGCGTCCAGAAGAAAGAAGTGGGAAAAGAGGTCATTAAACAGAAATATGGCAGCTTCTCAATTTTTTTTTTTTGGCTGCCACAGCCTCTAAAATCAGAGCTATTTAACAGGACTTGCATGATGGTGGCTGGGACCCCTTACCATCCGGAGGGCCAGACAGTGACACCATTTCATGCCTGACAGAATATTCAGGCTTACGAATTTGACAAAGGTTAATATATAAGAATTCAAAATGTTCTTTTTTTTTTCCCGTTAGAGATACATTTTCATCTACAAGCATAAAATTCTTTAGACTTTTAAGGCAAGATAAAAAAATAATAAAAATATAAATTACCTCAATCTTTTCCAAGAAGAATGATCTAAACGGATAAAGAAAAATTGTTTTGTTAAGGAACATGGATTATGGGTACTTCCTTTCTGATTTAGCATTTCACCTCTAAAAACTTTTAAAGAGCTTTGACATCAGAATGATTTATTCCTGTTAGGCATTAGCCAGAAGTCTCCCTTTCTGTGTTTAAAATAGATGGCTACACAGTGGTTCCTGGGCAGTCGTTGGAAATATTAACCTTACAGTCATTTGGGGGATTTTTACAATGGCAGAGCATCTCACCTGCCAAGGAACTAATTAGTTTCAAAATATTTATCCCCAGAAGCTAAAGATTTCCTTGACCAGGGGATTGCGAGTATACAATTAAAACCCGAATGGAAATTTGGTCCCCGTAACCCTATTAATTTCTTATGAAACCATTGAGACGATTTTCCCAGTTAAAGCAGAGTTTTTACATTTTTACTAGCGTATATTGACTACAGCCATAACCATTCATTTATTCTGGGATTCTCTTTTCCTCTTGCTTTCTAGAAGAATATCTTACAACTCTCTCTCCTTGGGCTCATCGATAGAAATTCAGCCTTATCTTTCAACGCAGGCTATAATTTCTAGCAGCTGATGCTATTGTAAACATGGACCCTCATCACAGCCTTAGGGAGAAAGCCAGGTCTTTAAGTGAGGCAACCATCCTATTATTTCCTCAACCCTTATTTTACACTCAAGGAGTAGGTCCCAATCGCCTCCATAATTGATTGGTAAACTCAGGGTCTCACACAACCATGCAAATAAAGATACAGAATTCTTTGATGTTCAGCTGAAGAAAAAAAAAAAAAGCAATGGGTCTTTAATGACATAAATGGTATGAGTCTCATCTGCAGATGGTTAGAGCGATTTAGAATCATGTGTTGGGCTACTCAGAGACGCCCCTCCTATGATGACCATGACCAAAGCAACCTATGAACAGAGATAAGGCAGAGCCGTGATGACAGCGATTAATGAGTGTAGCTAGGGTCTGGTGTAAATGCTTGAAGGCCCAGTGAGTTTGTCATTGTTGTTATCTGTGGTTTTGCCCTTTTGAAGGTTTCCTTTAAAATAGAAATCTGGCCTCAGAGAAGTCTGACACCAAAATGGGTGCAATTGCATTTCCTGAAGCAGTCGTTTCCTATTTTGGAATGCAGAGCTCAGAGAGCAGAGCCATAAGGGGCCAGTTGACGCTGGTGCAACTAGCCTATCACCATTAGAAACTGCTCTCTGGAAGGCTAAGAAATATATACTATTTGATTTAAGATTTGGCAGTTCAGGTAACTGCCCAGGCACCCTTTTCACAGCAGATAAGTCTTGCCTTCTTCATGGAAAGAGCAATATTTTTCTCAAGCAAAAATTGCTCACGATCCCCATCTTTGAAGCCCTCTTCTCCCACCCCCCTTCCTCTCACTCTCTCTGGAGCAGGAACCAGGGAAATGTGATGGCATGGCTTCATGTCAGCGTCAAGTGATTCCAGGCTAATGAATGAGTTCAGGGCTGTTCATTTGAAATAGTTTTAAAAAAAAAAGTCATTAACCCCCAAACTCCTCATTCTCAAGAAGAAAGGAAAAATGTTCTCAATGGTTACCAGGGTGGAGTCTAATGTTAATTTTAAATCAGCCTGGAAGTCTGAGAAAGAATATTTTTCAGAATGTCCGGCTCAATGGGGAGGTGAAACTGGCAAGATTGGGTTTGCATGACCTCCACCAGTGCCTGCCACTCCTCCCTCCTCTTCCTCGAGCAGAGCTGAGAGAATTAGGGGTGGGAGGAGTCTTTCTCTTTTAGGCTCCTCTTTGTTTCCTTCCTGGAAATCTGTAACTGGTCAATGGCTTTGTGTGTTTTTTCTTCTGAGATCCTGGAAATTGTGTTGTTGTTTTTGGCAGTATGAGACTGTTACAGTTTACCAGGAAGCAGCCTGCACAGAGAACTAGGCCCTCTTTTCATTCTTATTTTAAAAACGAAGCAATAAAATCCAGGGCAACTAGGAAGGACTGCTCAAGAGCTGCCTATCTAACGTCTCTCTTCGTGGGTGTTTGTAAACATGGCAATTATAGAGCTCGAAAGAGCTGATAACCTGGACCACAGTAGACTGGAAAAAAATAGTGTTGTTGTTTTCCTTTTTTGAAGTAAACATGGTGCAGTAATAAAATTGATATGCAAGACCTAAAACCAATTAGATGGCTGAATCTCTTACCTCAAAAACACAGCAGTCTCGCTGCTGGGGACCTGTGGGGTTAAAACTCAAAGGAGGAAAGCAGTTGTTTCCGAACCCTTAGGACAGACCTTAGTGTACATAGTAAAGCCAATACACGACGTTGAACAGAGAAAAGGTGATGGGGAAAAACATTCGGGACCACTTGTCTATGGAGTTCACATCAGTCAAGTCGGGGATCTTGACTTTGAGCTGCGAGGCGCGCCTGCGGATGCGCCCCTTGCCGTGCGCGTGGCGGTCCAGCGGATGCCCGTAGGCCTCGCGGGTGGCCCGGGGCTTGCGGTAGTGGATGCTGGCGCTGTCGTAAGAGTACATGGTGGTGTTGGGGTCGCTCATGCCCGTGAGCACTTCCGAGCCGCTCGTCTCGTTCCTGATTTCCAGGGTGCTGAGGATAATGTTGCCGTGGGTGTCGACCTGATGGAGAAAGAACATGCTCAGGCACAACTGCCGGGATATTCGCTTGTTTTCATTAACCTGAAACTGATGACACCACATGGGGTTCATCTAACACGGTCAAGCAGTCATCTTGCTCTGCGTGCCTCCTGGATCTGGGGATGATCTGTCTATCTATCTATCATCTATCTATCTATCATCTATCATCATCTACCTATCCTCTGCCTATCTACCATTATCTTCATCCATCCATCCATCCATCCATCCATCCATCCATCCATCCATCCATTGATGTCCACCCACAAAACACGTGTATGTGTGTATATATGCATAAACTATATAGTTATACCTGTATTTATATTTATATACTATTTTTGTCAATCACTACCACTTATTAAATCCATAGAGGTACATACAGGGTGTCCCAAAAAATGTATACACACTTAAACAGCTGATAGCTAAATTCTGAAAATAAGATGTACTTTAATAAACACTACCTTTATAATTGTTCAAAGTATATGTATACATTTTGGGGGAACAGCCGTATATACATATATTGTTTGTCTATATGTATGTATATACACATATGGTATTTTGTTGTTGTTGTTGTTGTTACAAAGGTGGCACATAGAAACTTTTAAAACTAGAAACAGGAAACTAAAATTAAAAAGTAAATATCCATTATATTACCTTGGAGTCCATTATTTTTAACATCTTGCTAGCCTCCCACTCTTTTTTTCTGTTCATATATATTTACACACACATATTCTCTGGGTGTATTTTGCTTTGCAACCCACTTTTGTCAGTTAGCAATATAACCTGGTAATCTTTCCATGTTAATAAGTATTCCTGTGATATCATTTATTAATAGCTGATATGGACAAACTATAATTGAATTAATATATTGTTAGATGTCAAGGCTTGTTTTACTTTCGTAGTATCATGTAAACAAGCCTTCAAGGAACATATTCAAGCTAAATCTTTGTGCAAGTCCATAATTATTTCCTCTGGCTAAAGCCATGAAACCTAACCTTGAGACCTCCTGACTACAGGCGAACCTTGGAGGGGCTCACACATAAAGGAAAGCCTGGGATTTCACTGCATAGACATGGATTAGGGGACCCTCTCCTTCCTTTCTGCAGTGCATTGCTTATCAACCACAACTATTGTTTTTAAATTCTGAGGACACATGTCCTGGGAAGATAGTAGTGAACAAAACAGGCAAGTCCTTGAACATTCTTAGGGAGAAAAACGTTATCACATGGGAAACAGTATGGAGGTTCCTCAGAAAATTAAAAATAGAGCTACCATATGACCCAGCAATTTCACTTCTGGGTATTTAGCTGAAGAAAATGAAAACAGTAACTCAAAAAGATATCCGTACCCCATGTTCATTTCAATAGTATCTATAATAATAAAAGTGTAATATGTTAATTAGACTGGACATCCTTCCGGGGCTGCTGCTGCAAGGGCTGGGGCGGCGGCCGGAGCGGCAGTCAGGGCTGCTGCTGCCTCGGCCCTCGGAGCTCCTTGCATGAATTTTGTGCATCGAGCCTCTAGTTTACTATAACAACCTGTGTCCATGGATGGATGGATGAATAAATAAATTATCCTATATAATAAAAGCCTAATATGATAAGTGTCTGACTGTTCGACCAGTGACATGCACTGACCACCAGGGGGCAGACACTATGACCAGTAAGTTAGCTTGCTGCTGGGTTCCAGCTGATCAGGACTGGGCAAGATTGGCTGGACACACCCTGGAGCCCTCCTGCAGTCCCTCCCTGGCCGGCCAATCTTCCGCGGTCCCTCCCTGGCCTCTAAAATATTTCTTTTAATTAATTTTCTTTCAATATGCACAAATCTGTACACCAGGCCTCTAGTATATATACAATTCAGCCATAAAAAAGAATGAGCTCTTTCCATTTTCTCCAGCATGGATGGGCCTTGAGGGTATTATGTTAAGTGAAATAAGTCATATAGATACCAAATACCAAATGATTGCACAAAAAACAAAAAGCCAAGAACTCAGAACAACCCAAGCTCACATAAAGAGAAGCAATTGGCAATTGCCAGAGGTGAGGGGATGGAAGGTGGATGAAATGGGTGAAGGGAGTCAAAAGATAGACTTCCAGTTATAAATAAACTAGAGGCCTGGTGCATGAAATTTGTGCACTCGGGGGGGGGGGGGGTCCCTCAGCTCGGCCTGTGCCCTCTTGCAGCTTGGAGTCCTCGGAAGATGTCTAACTGACAGCTTAGGTCCACTCCCCACCCACTCCCCGCGGGGAGCAGGCCTAAGCCAGCAGTCTGAAATCCTTAGTGCTGCCACGGAGGTGGGATAGGCTCCTGCCACTTCCACTGCACTCACCAGCCATGAGCCCAGCTTGTGGCTGAGCACTGCTCCCCCTGTGGGAGTTCAATGACCCACCAGGGTGCAGCTCCTGCATTGAGCGTCTGCCCCCTGGTGGTCAGTGCGTGTCATAGCAACCAGTTATTCTGCCATTCAGTCGATTTGCATATTAGCCTTTTATTATATAGGACTAGGGGTCTCTCAGCCCGCCCTGCACCCTCTCCAATATGGGACCCCTCGGGGGATGTCCAACTGCCGGTTTAGGCCCTATCTCTGTGGGATCGGGCCTAAACCAGCAGTTGGACATCCCTCTCGCAATCCGGGACCACTGGCTCCTAACTGCTTGCCTGCCTGCCGGCCTGATCCCCCTAACTGCTCTCTCCTGCCAGCCTGATCGCCCCTAACTGCCTCTGCCTTGGCCCCGCCACTGTGGCTTTGGCCGGAAGGACATCTGGAAGGTCGCCCGGAAGATGTCCGGTCTAATTAGCACATTATCCTTTTATTAGTATAGATAAGTCATGGGGATGAAATGTACAGCATGGCAGCTATGGTTAATAATACTGTATTGCATATTTGAAAGTTGCTATGAGAGATCACAAAAGTTCTTATCACAAGAAAAAATATTCTGTAAATATGTCTGGTGATGGATGTTAACTAGATTTGTGATGATTTCATGATATATACAAATATCAAATCATTATTTTATATACTTGAAACTCATAATGTTGTATGATGATTATACTTCAATAAAAATACAATAAAATAGAAATTATGTGAAACCTTAACATCTTAAATAGAACTGGTCAGAGGGGAAAAAAAAGCAAAACTGAAGTTGTGCAACAAGAAGAAAGTCTACCTCACAACTGTAACATAGAATCCCGCCCCAGTCTCCAGTCTGCCTTATAGATTTTGGACTTGCTGTTTTCTACAACCACATGAGCCAATTCCTTAAAATAAATCTCCTTTTGTGTCTAAGTTTGTTCTGTTTCTGTTGGTTCCCTTTTTCTGGAGAACCCTGAGTGATAGAAAGACTAGTGTAAAATTCATAAGGGTGATTTAAAATTTTTTTTAATTGATTGATTAAGATATTACATAACTCCCTCAGTCATGCCCTCACCCCCCTGGTGTCTGTGTCCATTGGTTAGGCTTATATGCATGCATACAAGTCCTTTGGTTGATCTCTCCCCCTTCCCCCCACCCTCGTCATAAGGGTGATTTTTAAATGTCTAAAATCCACAAAACATTGATCTGATGGCTGTGTTTTATCCCTCAATGGAAACCCTATGCAAACATGCAATTCATTTTCTATCTTGGGTCTATCCTTTCTCCCACCCTCTCACTCTCTGTCTCCCTCATCCTCTCCTCTCTGCCCCAGCAATATCCCCTAAACAGTGCCTTAGGCTGTGAAAAATGTTGCCACTCACTGAATATAATTGTTCCGGATATTTCAAATATATAAACATAGCAGAACTCATTTCAGTGTAATTGGAATAAAATATAATCTTGTTTTCAGTGGCAGTTTTAAAGCCCTGTTGAGAAATACCTCCAGGCTCAATCTACTTTGCAAACAGAAAATCATTTCCTTCTTGCTAACCGATTCAATTAGATTCATATTCACTAAGTGGGTCTGAAGCACAGAGCAGGAAGCCGAGTGAAGTGATGCTGGCCACAGACTGAGCTGCCCTCCAGAAGCCTGCAGTCTATGCAGTGCAGCTGTCCAGGGGAATGGCCGCTCCCCCTGCAGAGAACAGAGAGCCACACAGCCCAGCTTCCATCTGCCCATCCCACTCCTATAATGCACCACGTTTACGCTGTTGCTGTTACTCATTTGTTCTTACCAGGGCTGCCCACCCTCAATTCCTTGGTCTCAAATTCCTAAAATTTTTTTTGGGGTGGGCATGTAAAGGGAATCAGAGGCTTTGCAGGAGACGATTTACATGTCTCTTTACTTGTCTTGACAACTATAGGCAGAAGTGGAAACTTTAATGTTCCTAGAAGCAATAAAAGGTTAAGCATAAACTTACATAAATCTAAACACCGCATATATTACTCAAGAAATAGAGAAGAGCCCTGATCAGTTTGGCTCAGTGGATAGAGTGTCGGCCTGCAGACTGAGGGGTCCCGGGTTCAATTCCAGTCAAGGGCATGTACCTTGGTTGCGGGCACATCCCCAGTAGGGGGTGTGCAGGAGGCAGCTGATCAATGTTTCTCTCTCATCGATGTTTCTAACTCTCTATCCCTCTCCCTTCCTCTCTGTAAAAAATCAATAAAATATATTTAAAAAAAAAGAAATAGAGAAGATAAAAGATGAAGATAAAATGAAACAACTGCCCATTTTCCAGAACATTGCTCAGGTAGACACATTTACCCTGGAACTCTTTATTTCTCTCACTTCTCTCATTCAGTGGATTAGCAGATCCTAATGGCTCTGTTTTGGAGAAACAGATTCTAACCACTTCTCGCCACCGTCAACTCTTGATGCCTAATTGATCTCCCTCTTTCCAGGAATGAGCCCTCTGGTCTTTTCTCTGCATAGCAGCTGGAGTTATCCTTTTAAAATGTAATAGAGATCATGTCTCCTCTGTTTGGATCTTCTAGCTACTTCCCAAGAATAAAATAAATAGAATAGAATAAAACCCGTATTTCCCATTTGAATCCACAAAGCACCCTG